CAAGGATTGCGGTGAAACCCATGGGCATGAGCAGGCGCGACATGGGCAACCCGGAGCGGGCCGAAATTCGACTGACTACCGGCAGGAACAATGCTGCGGCACCGACGTTTTGCATGAAAGAGGAAATGATGCCGACTGTGCCTGAAATAATCGGGATGATGCGCTTTTCGGTCGTGCCGCCTACTTTCAGAATAAAGCCTGCGACCTTACTCATCATACCGGTCTTATCCAGCCCCGCACCGATAATCATCACGGCAATTATCGACATAACTGCATTACTGGAAAAACCATCAAATAGATGCTGAGTGTCGACCAGGCCCTTTTCCAGTCCCATGAACGGTGCCAGTATATTGCTAACACCCAGCATGACCATGATCGAAATCGCGGCTTCATCGACACCGATGATTTCGAATGAAAAAAGGTAAATGGTCAGAATCAGAATGCAGCTTACCCAGGCAATTTCGACAGTTGGTACTATGCTTGCCAAATGCCAGGCGGCATAGGCGAAGAGGGTAGCAGCGCCCCACTTTATGACTGTTGATTTACCAGGCTTGAGCAAACTTTATCCGCGAATTGGTCTCTGGAGTTATCCAGCAGAGAATGATAGTGAAAACATAAAACGTTGGGTTGCGCAGGTGCTAGTCTACACAATTTGACCGAACAATTATAGTGGCCGCGGCGCGATACAATGCGGTACCTGGCGTTAAAATGATATCTATATATGGATAACCTACATGCGATTTTTAGTTATTTTTTGCATTCTAAATGCAGTTGATTGATAGCCATTGTCATCTTGATGATGATCGTTATGACACTGACCGTGACGACATAATTGCGCGTGCCCGAATGCAAGGCGTCAATCAGATTGTGCTGCCGGCCACGACTGCCAGTCGCTGGGGCAAGGTCAAACAAATCGCTGAAGAATACGAAGGCGTTTATCCTGCTTATGGTTTACACCCGATGTTTATCCGATCAGCACCAGACTGAGCATTTGCGTGAACTCGACGAATGGCTGGATCGAGAGCAGCCAGTGGCTGTCGGCGAATGTGGTCTGGATTTTTTTCATTCCCGCGTTGATGAAAAATGGCAGATGCAATTATTTATCGAGCAATTGCAGTTGGCAAAAAATCATGCCCTACCGGTGATCGTTCACGTGCGCAAAGCCATGGACAAGGTCATTAGCTTATTGCGTAAAAACAAACTTGAAGCGGGCGGCGTGATCCATAGTTTTGCCGGTA